GAGAAACTTTTGGACTGGTTGATCAATAACAGCCCGGAGCAGGAGCAGCGGCAGCAGCAGGAGCAGGAATTGCTAGTGTCCTCGGTGCTGGCTGCACGACAAAGAGACAATCAGCGCTTGGAAAATGAATCTGCGGATCGAGCATTCGAGCGCCTGATAAAAATGAATCTAAAGCAGGGGAGCACTGATGAATCTTTAGCAGACAAGAGAGTTGAGGCTAAGAACTTGCATGCGCCCTTCTTTAACTTTTGCAAGACAAAGGACAAACAAAAGGCTCCCAGCTCGAAGGGCACCTGTCCGGCGCCCAAAATCAAAGCCAAAATCAAAGCTGAAGCCAAATCCTGCAAGAATAGTGTTAAGCAGAAAGTGGTTGAATTGCTAAAGCTGACGAAGAAGATGAAGCAGCGTTCGTGTCTGATTATCAAAATGCTCAATGAATTGGACACTGAGATCCACAAGAGATGGCCAGGTGTGAAATTCAGAGGCCACAAACATAAGATGCCTCAGCCTCCTGAAAAGTCACAAAGCGAATCGACGCCTGAAGGAAAGCAGCCGGAGCGCTTGGATACGCCAGCGCCGATGCCCACCACGCAGTCACCCTTTAAGCACAATCGTGGCTTCTACTTTGGCCTAAAGCCACTTGGCGATGATAGCACCGAAGAGAATTTGGAAGCAGCCTTGAGAGAGGAGCAGAAATTGGAGCAAAAGGTGCGGGAGGAGCATCATCTGCAGCAAGAACGAGATGAAAAAATAAAGCGAGCGCGATACGAAGCAGCTCCACCGGCAGCTGCACGCATTGAATACTTTGTGACAACTCCAGCACCTGGAAGAAACATCTGGCATTATGTGAATAATAGTACTATGAGAAAGAGGAAAGTCCCGGGGAAAAGACTTAAAGCGCAATTGCAACGAGTCCTACGGCAGCATAAAAGAGCCAGACATCGCCTTGCTTTCCAATAATACACGCTTGGAATCAAACATAATTTCATTTATATAATTAATATATGTATATTTTTTAAAAAGTGAAAGAGTTAATCTTTTTTAAATTTACGTCGGCAAGCGCTAACGATTATTTTGCAACGGGGTCACCCTGATTTATATCGTATGCTGCGATTGCTTATAATCCGCGCAACAAGTAAAAGCGGACTGCTAATGATAATATCGATAGTAGCGCGCATTTACCTCAGCTGCAGTGGCGAGCTAATTTAATTAAATAAACAAAATAAATGACATAAGTTAGCTAAATAGTGGTTAATTTTAAAAATACATTTTTCTTTATATACTCACGTGGAATAAACAGCATGGCAATTAATATTAATCGATAATTTACCGATATATCGGAAAATACAGTTAGTTTTACAGCTGTTAATAAGAGCACAGGCTTTCAAAGTTTCAATTTGATCCCGTATAGTTTCTACTTCGTGTTTCTACGCATTTTTTAAAAAGTGTACTTAATTTATGCAAAAGTGCATATAAAAATAATAATATATATATATGTTGTATATAGTAAATAGTCGAATCATTCTGTAAGTATTTCCATTCCGAATTTCGATTTTTGATTTCGCTACTTCGCAATAGTAAAAAAACATGGGCAGATAAATGAAATTGAAATTTGATATGTTTCGCTGACAAACATAAACATATGAAATCTTAAATAAATAAACAAAGCTTGACTTATGGTATCTGTCGCATGAGTTTCTAGTTAATTCTCCAGAACAGATAAATCGAACTCAAATTTTGTCTGTTTAATAACTTAATGTGAATTGTATCAAATTCTTGAGAGCAGCAGCCATAGTTTTGTCTTAGACTTAAAAAAAGAAGCAGCTTGTTGCGCCGTCGCGATGCGTTTGCTTTTGCTGTTGCTGTTGCTTTTGCTATGCTCTTGAAAACTCTCCCTCTCTCTATCGCTCAGCTGATTTTTTCATTATCTGTGTCGCGTTCATTGTGCCCAAATAAGTTTTCGCGAATATCGTTTGGCACGCATATTTGTTGTTGTGGGTGGGGTTGGCTGGCATTTCACAGCGCTTTATCATATTTGATTACCTGATTGGCATGTACTCACACATGCACTATTTCTGATTATATGAGTGTATATTAAGATTATTTCTGTTTAATATATTTGCAGCAACAATGACTTCGAAGCAAGAAGAAATTTTGAAGGATCTTACTATTGTGGTGCGCTCATTGATAACTTCTATGAAGCCGCCGGTCAGCTTGCAATGCATAGAGCGCGATTATAAGAAGGTGGAAAATGCGCCAATACCTTATCACAGGCTTGGCTATCGAAGTACCCTCGAATTATTGGAGAAGACAAATGCATTCAACTTCCAAAAAGTCGGAACAGAAGTGAGTGAAAGACCCGAAGAGGTGGCGACCTCCCCCCACAATGCGCAAATCTCTCAGTTACTCACATGTTTACTGCCTCCCTTTCTCTCTCTCTCTCTCTCTCTCTCGCACTCTCTCTCTCCCTTGCTGTATGAAATCAGCGCAGCTTTTGAGAGCTGTGGTTGAGCTTTTGGCAGCGCCTGTTTCCATTAGTGCTCATTTGTATCTCAGTAAGTTTCGTTGCGTCAAAGCGAACGGTGCTATTTGGATCTCTGCGTGCGTGGAAGAGTGTGTGTGTGTTCGTGTGCTTTACGGGGCTTGGCTTGCCACAAAGAGGCAACGTGTCAATGTAGCGTCGCTCCAACAAAAGTGTAAACAATGTTACTCTTGTTATTATTTCTGCCTTTCTATAAGCTTGCTGCTGTGCTGATTAAGCAGTTTTTGTTTTCGAAATGCAGCGCACTCACTCACGCACACACACAAAACGAAACAAAATGCCAACAATTATGCATAAGTTATGTGCAAAGCGAAATAAAACGAAAGAAAGAAAAAAAATGGACAGCCAATTTAAACTTTTTGGCTATTCGTCTTTTTGCTCTCATTCTCTCACAGTTTATGTGTGTGTGTGCGCTCCTGTGTGTGTGTGTGTGAGTGTTTCGCTTTGCATGCTTGGTGAAAGTAATCAAACGTTGTCCGATTCGACTGTAAGAGGAAGCGAGAACGCACACCGCATTGCATTTCAATTGATACTTTTTATTTTGTTTCATTTGCTTGTTGCCCATTCTTGTCTTAATTTATTTATAAATGCAGGCATTTATGCACTCTGTCTTGAAATGTCAATCAACACTCGTTCATTCTGTGATCAATGCGGTTGTTGCTGTTGTTGTTGTTATTATTATTTTGGTTTTGTTGTGCTTATCAGGATGCCGCCTTCGTGCATTTGCCTCTGGCTGCGGCTCTCTCGTTCTTGTGCCGCAGCACAGCTCCCCACGCAGAGCTGGCCTGATTTGCAGTGGGTGGTTGCTGGGCAGGTTCAGCCGTCTTCTGTGGGTTGTTTTTATAAAATAAGGGGAAAAACGAACAAGAAAATGTCAATGCAAACGCAAATCAATAATGCAATGTAGACGAAGATAAT